TTTCTTTACCACCCTCCTCTCCCTGCTTCTTGTTTCTCTTTACTGAGATCCGGTTTCGTTTCCTGTATTGGCTTCCTTTTTTTAAAAAGCTGTCTTCTTGGAATTAATCCAGGGGTTTATTAGTGTCGTCGTCGTCTTCTTCCTCCTCCTCTTCTTCTTCTTCTTTTTTTTTTTTTTGGAGACAGGGTTCACTGTGTAGCCCTGGCTGTCTTGGAACTCACTCTGTAGAACAGGCTGGCCTCGAACTTAGAGATCCACCTGCCTCTGCCTCTCACGTGCTGGGATTAAAGGTGTGTACCACCACAACCCTGCTTAGTGGCTTTTATGTTTCTTGAGTTTTTTTGTTTTTGTTTTTTTTTTAAGTGAGATTTCTATATATGGGGTTAGGCTGGTTAATTTTTCTCTTTTTTCCCCTTAAGATAACCTTTTTCCCCCCAATAAAGGTATTCACAATATTTAAGAAGGACTAGGTTATAGTAGGGTTCAGATAATAGTTTTCCCCTGTTACACTGGTATTGGAGAAATAGGCTCAATTCCCAATATTCTCCAAGAATAGAAAATTGTTAGCAAACTCCATCATTACCAAAGGACAGTTCCATTATGAAAATAAAGTAACAATTCAATTTAAAAAAATCACCCCTTAAGCACAATCATTTTAGGAAGTAAAGAAACACTAGCACTGTGTACAATAATCTATTAGTTACCACCGATGTGAGTGGAGGAAAACAGGAGAGTTAGACTAGTGGTTAGTGTTGAGTTGGTGGAAACAAAGTAAAAGGAAGAGTAAAGAGAAATGTGGAACAGGAGAGACAAGGCGGGCATAGGACTGCTTAGAGTAAAGGTAGAATGAAAAGTGTCAATATTCTGACCCGCCCCCTGAGGCCACTCTGTGTCCTGACATAAAAGCCTCATTTTAAGGAAAAACTCCTCCCCTTCCTCTCTCTCTCCATTCCCACGAGGTGTGCACACCTCCACTTTCTCCCTTCTCTTTTTTCCTTGTCTCCCTCTTTCCTGTCTTTCTCTTCATCTCTCTATTATAATTAACTTTCCACGTGGATGCAGCGCCTGGGTGTGAATGACTTTCCATCTCCCCCCCTGCCCCCCCACTCCCCCCACTCTGCTAGTGTTTGGAAGGGTCTGCACTTGGCTGTGCTGGGGGGAGGTCTTTTGCTCCACCCCTTAGCATTCCTTTAAAAAGCCCTTTAGAAGAGACAGAAGGGGGCCGGTGGATTTGGATCCAGGCCCTCCCAAGGCTATCCTATTTCCATCTGTCTCTCTTTCTCCTCTATCTAAATCTCTTATCCCCTGCTCCTCAAGAGCACCCTGGGGGAAAAAAGGTAGGGGCGCCCCCCACAAAGAATATGGTCTGTACTGAGGCATATTTAAATGATTATCTGAACAAATAGACATTATTGAAATATAATTGCAGAATTAAACTCTGCTCTCCCATGATGGATTTCTGAGGTTGCTGAGTTTCTCCACCTGAAGGATAGGCTCTGAGCCCTCCCAAGGAAGGAGAGAAAGCTCACTTCCAGTACCCACACTTAGCAATATTAAAAATTACCAAGGAGATGAGCCAGGAGGCTCACACAAAGGAAAAGAGCACAAATGCTAAAATCAATATAGCACAATCCTATAATAAATAAATAATCAAACAAGTAAGGGCAAAATCCTGATGGATCATTTTCTCTAAGACTGTAGAGCAAGGAACAATTAAAGAACTAAGGTGTTTGTTTCAGCCCTTGAATATTAGCTCAGATGGTAGAGTGCTTGACTTGCATACATAAAGCCCCGGGTTTGAGCCCCAGCACTGCAAAAACCCGTGGTACATAGGTGATACATGCCTTCAATTCCAGCATTCAAAAGGAAGATGAGAAACTCAAAGTCATCCTTAGCTACACAGTAAGTTCATGAGACCCTGTCTTTAAAAAACCCAAAAAAAAAACCAACCACACAAGCAAAACACCTCACACAACCTGTTTCCCTAGCAGGAATAAAACACGGCAAATCCAGAAAGACACTAGGTGTCACAGCAGTTTCCCTCTTCATAATGGCACTGCCCTACAGGAGCCTGAGGACCAATGGTGGTTCTTCAAGTCTGTTCTTAAGTCCTAATAAAACTCCCCAAGAATAAAAAGTCCATACTACAACACTCATTCAAGAACTACTTTGGGAGTTGGAGAGCTAGATGGCTCAGTGGTTGAGAACACACACCGCTCTTCCAGAAGACCCAAGTTCGATTCCTAGCACCTATATCAGGCATCTCACAATCACCTCTTACTCCAGCCCTAGAGGGATCCTCTGGCTTCTGTAGGTTCTTGCACTCACATGCACACACCCACACACAAACTCACACACATCCATATCATTAAAAATAACAAAAAGAAAAAAAACTTTGAAGGCAGTTATAATTTTGCCAAATTCTTTCCATACAGGATAAGAATGTCAATTTCCCCTTTAAGTGTCCTTGATGAAACAGTACAGCCACTCTGGGGGAGAAAAATTTGTCTGCTTCTTAAAAAGCTAAACATACAATTACTATACAATCTAGCAAGTGCATACCCTTCGACATTTATTTCACAGAGAGGGAAAACATATGTTCATACTAAAACCTGTACACGAGCATCCACAGTATCTTTAGTTTTAATGTCTTAGAAACGCAAGCACCCGCCAGGCGGTGGTGGTGGCGGTGGCGCACGCCTGTAATCCCAGCACTCGGGAGGCAGAGGCAGGTGGCTCTCTGTGAGTTCAAGGCCAGCCTGGTCTACAGAGCTAGTCCAGGACAGGCTCCAAAGCTACAGAGAAACCCTGTCTCAAAAAAAAAAAAAAAAAAAAAAGACAAGAGAGGCCAAAGATTCCGGTGTCTGTGAATCATATCCCCACTGACACCTGGGAAAAGTCTATTTGAACCGTTGCAATACTGTGATGGCTGGGAATTACCCAATACTGTTTCTGTCCGCTGTGATCTTCCAGATGAAGAGTGCAACAAATTGGTGGACATCCAGACTAATTGCTCAGCAAACCAACTATGGTACATGCAGTGAGGACTGTGTAATTCCACTTATCCGAGGTACTCAAAGGTTAAATTCAAAGAGAGGCAGAACGGTGGTTGCCAGGAGCTGGGGATAACAAGGAATGGGGAACTGTTCAATGTGTGAAAGAGCTTCAGTTTTGTAGATATTCCATGGTGATGGCAGTGTGTCAATATGGATGTACTTAATGCAAAAAAACAGGGGGAGGGGGGTACACACGGTGGCCAAATTTGTAACCCCAGCACTCCAGAAGCTAGGCAGGAGGATCATGGGCAAATTCAAGGCCAGCCTAAGAGTGGGATTCTACAGAGTGAGATTTGGGGTGAGAAGGGGATGGTATTGGGGGAGGACACTGGACCAGAGATACATTTGTCCTATACAGACACCATTATATTCTATTCTGCATACCCATTCTTCTCTACAGCTCACAAATATTTTCAATTCCCTATTAACTTAATATTCCACACATCTTTTTCAGTGAAAAATGTCCATGGCAAATGCAATAACTGTCCATGATGAGTACAATGACTGTACAAATTATTAACTCTTGATCATCTTCCTTGGTGCCTAAAGTGCTTCTGCTACATACCAAAGTAATGTGACTATCTCAAGGAAAAGCACATGCTATGTTAAGCACTGAGCTGAATTAGAAGCATTTTTTTGAAATACCATTTTTACTGCAAGAATAACAGACAAGACAACTATGGTGATTTAGACTTACATTTGGCAGACATTTCATTGAAACTGAATTTTGGGGACAACTGACAATATTTTGTTGATAATGAGAAAAGTCATGATTTCCACTGAAAATTGCAATGTTGGAAAATTACCACATCTTGAGTTTGACAGTTTCCCCGACACTTTAAGAATTTAATGAAACCGGTGGTCGAGACGTTAATAAGATGTGTTAGCATCTGGGACATTCCTGAATGCGGTAAGCCAATACAAACCCGTTAAAGTGAGTAACAGTTCCATTCAAATACAAGGCAGTCTGAGGAATTTCATGTAACTGTGAGCTCAGATTTCACATCAAAATTAGCCTTTAAGAAACAATCTTCTGAACTTCTGGTGGAGTCACAAAGAACACCCACAATTATTTGGAAAAGCTGTAAGAATACGTCTCTTCAAACTGCCCATCCATCCATTTAAGACTAAATTTCCTTTAGTTCATTCAAAACACATCACAACAAACAATGCAAAAAACCAGAACGCAGCTAGCTGCCTTTTTTATTAAGCCAGACATGGAAAGGAGTTGTAAAATATGTAACAGGCTGTTCGTCTTAACTTTTCTGCTTAGGGTACACTATTTTCATTAAAAAGCGTTATGCATGTTACGATACCATGGGTTATTCAATGAATAAATATTTAACACGTCCGTTTCCACTTTTAATACAACAAACATGTTCGTCTGTGTGGTCCTGAGACCCCTGCTCCGTTCTTCCTTATCGGGAGAAAGTGAACTACCTGGAGCCAAGCACTGGGACAGGATCCGCCCTCCCACCCGGAGGCTGCACAGGACAGCTCAGCGGGACCACGAAGGCCTCTCCCGCCTCGGGCTTGGGCGGCGCGTGTCCGGGCCTCTCGCCAGCCGCAGGCCGCGCGGCGGCGGCAAAGCTTGCCCGCCTGTCAGGCCCGGGCCCCGGAGAGGCTCGGGCAGCGGCGGTCCCAGAGCGCGAGTGCGCCCGTACCTGTTGGTCATTCCGGCCGCCACGCCCAGCATCTCCGCGGTCCACGCCGGGTCCCTCGGTGCCTCAGTCCCCGCCGCCGCGGCCGCACCCTCTTCCCTCGCTGCCCGGGCGAGCTGCCGACTGGGAGGGCCGGCCCCGGGCAGGAAGGGGGCGGGGCCCGCTGGTAGCGACCGGCAAATGGCGACGCTGACCACGCCCCGGAGAGCGTGGGCCTAGGCCGTAAGAGGGGCGGGGCTAAGGCTACGGCGAGCCGAAGCCGGGCTGGGGGCGGGGTGAAGTTCGGCGGGGGCGGCGCTGAGAGCATCACCGGTCGGGCGGAAGGCTGGGGTGGAGCGTTAGACTGAAGCAGCCGGGGAAGGAACGCGGCGAAGCCGGAGGAGCGAGGTAGGGACCCTGTGGCTTGGGCGACGGGTCTTGGCCCCGCCCCTGAGTCGTCATAGCTCCTCCTCCCCCTCCCCCCACCAGGCCCATCCCTTCCTCGTCCAGGCCCTAAGCCTGCTTTCTTCTCGTTTGGCCGCAGGCGCTGCTGCTCCCTGGCCCCAAGCAGGCCGAGAGGCTTTATGGGTGTTCTGAGGATGTCCCTGACACTCCTGGAGATCCACTGCGCCTGACCCGCGAGGAACACGTGGTAAGGTGTGACTGGTCAAAGGACAGGCCGCAGTATCGTGGGCTGGAGGCTCTGACTCAACTTGGCAGATGGGCCGACTGATTCTTTCTTCAGGGCTTAAGGGTCTGTACGTGGTTCTACCCGCCCTGCGACGGTCCTGAGGAGATTGTGCCAGGGAGAGTGTCATGCACATCAGTCTTCCAGGGGTGGAGGTCTCATCTGGATTGGCCCCTTCCAGCCTACAGAAGCTTGGAATGTTTAGGGTATTTTTGTTGTACGTTTAACTTCGGGTGTGAAGACTGGGAACGTGTCTGAGTAGGCATTATTATCCCTGAAAACCGGTCAGAATGGGAGACCAGGCCCCACCCACACTCATGCAGCTGGCAAGACAGAGGCTGCTGAGGGAGGAGAACTTGATCATTTCTACTCTGGAGGAGCTGCCCATGGGGCTGCTCCCGGCGATGTTTGAGGAGGCCTTCACTGACAGACGCATAAACATCCTGAGGGCCATGGTGTCTGCCTGGCCATTCCCATGCCTTCCTGCGGGAACCCTGATAAAGGACCCCCACCTGGAGATTTTGAAAGCTCTGCTTGCTGGACTAGATGTGCTGATTACAGAGAAGGTTCATCCAAGGAGGTCGAAACTCAGAGTGCTTGATTTGACGAATGTGCACCAGGACTTCTGGAGCATTAGGGCTGAAACCCAGGAAGGTGACGGCTCACCACAAGCCAAGAGGCAGAAGCAACCAGTGGAGGAGATCTGCCCTAATTCTGGGGTGAAGAAACGTTTTAAGGTGGTAACTGATCTTGAGCTCATAAAGGCCAGGTTCAATAAATGTGAAACGTACCTGTTACAGTGGGCCCAGCAGCGCAAAGGTTCCATTCATCTATGCTGTAGAAAGCTGAAGATTTGGGATTCACCTGTCTTCGCTGCGTTACAGATCTTCAAAAATATAGATCTGGACTGTATCCTGGAGCTGCAGCTGAGTCAATGGTCACTTGAATTCATGGCACAGCTTTTTCCTTACCTGGAGCAGATGAGAAATCTTCACACACTTGTGCTAGAGGGGATTCCGAAGCCCTTCAGATTTGCTGCTTCTGCAGAGCAGGGATGGATAAGCATGTTGCTTTCTCAGATCTCCAAGCTCCCGTGTCTCCAGAATCTCTATGTATACAATATCTACTTTTTAACAGGCTGCCTTGAAGAGTGGCTCAGATGCCTGAAGACCCCCTTGAAGACCCTGTCAATCACTGACTGCCGGCTCTCCCAGTCAGACTTGGATTACCTGAGCCAGTGCCTGAACATCCGTGAGCTCAAGCATCTGAACCTGAGTGGTGTAGTGCTGTCTGATTCATGCCCTAAGCTTCTTGGGGTTCTCCTTGCAAGAATCTCAAGTACCCTGCAAACCCTGGAATTGGAGGAGTGCGAGATGAGGGACTCTCATTTCATTGCTATCTTGCCTGCCCTGAGCCAATGCTTCCAGCTTACCAAGGTCAATTTCTATCATAATAATATCTCTCTGCTTGTCCTGAAGAACCTTCTACGTCACACAGCCAAGCTGACCAAGCTGACCCAGGAGCTGTACCCCGCCCCTCTGGAGTGCTATGAGGAATTGAGAATACTTAGAAACAAATTCAAGCTGCTTTGTCCCGAGCTGCTGGATATACTCAGGGCCAAAAGGCAGCCCAAGAAAGTCTCCTTTTCTACAAGAACCTGCTTGGACTGTTTTCACTCCTGTTTCTTTGACCTGGAGGCCAGACTTTGCCTTTGTCCGTAAGTAGGATAAGGTTGCTTCTGGTACTAAATATGGAAGCCTAGTATTGGGAGTGTATGTACACTGTGCATCCTCGATTGCATATAATAAATGTGCTGAGTTTTGGGGGGTTAAAAAAAAAAAAAAAAAAAAAAAGAAGTTTAACTTTGTGGTCCTGGCCTGCAACATGGCTCAACAGGAGTTCAATCCCTGGGACCCTTGTGGTGGAACGAGAGAACCATCTCTCAATTTTCCTTTGACTTCCAAACACATACACACAACAATATAAATAAATGTAACGAAATAGAATTTAAAAATTTTGCTTCCAAAAGAAAAGAGAAATCTTGCTGCCATTTTGGGATAGTTGGGTAAAATCTAGCTGCCTCTTGATTAGTGGTTTTTAGTTTCATCATAGTTATGCCATCTGTGGAATGTGCTCTCCAAGTGATTCTACTTCTGTGGTTGACCAATGTCTGCCACAAAGAAAACTTGGAAAAATATTGTTGTTCTAGAACATGGGATTGAATTTCTTACTCTTCAACTCAACAGTTTCTCAGGATAAAAGAGGATGTCTCCATGACTGTTTCTTTTATCTTTGTTCTGACTGTCAACAATCAACCTTTAAAAACAAAAGTTGATATCTGGAAATCTTTCATATATGTGTGTATGTAGTGGGTAGCTGTTCCAGCTTTGACCTGGAAGTACTACCCCCAGTGAGGCTTCCAGTAATTGTCACGCCTACCTATGACCTGCCCCTGAGACGGGGCTGAGAGGGAGCCCTTAAGACCTGAGATCCAGATATGCTAGCTCTCTTGGTTCCTGGTGATCCTGGATGCTGGATGTAGACCAAGCAGAGTTCTCCAGAGAACACCACTGGACTGCACTTCACCTCTCCCGGATCCTATAACCTATTCCTTTACTTGTTATAAGTTACCCCAAAATAAACCTCCCTTTTAACTATGTGGAGTTGCCTCAATAAATCCTCCAATATGTGTATATGCACACAAAGTACATGCAAATTAAAAAAAATTTATGTGTATGAGTGCCTGTACCCATGTACCCTCAGAGACTAGAGGAGGATGCTGGATCCCCTGGTACTGGGGTTACAGATGGTTCTGAGCTGCCACGTGGGTGCTGGGAGTTAAACTGGGGTTCTCTGCAAGAGCAGCAAGCATGCTTCCCTGATGAGCTATTTCTCCAGCCCCACAAAGAATTATTGTAAAGCATGTATTCGAAATAAATACTTAAAAAAGGTTTTTTTTTCTTATTTTCGATCTCTTTCCATCTTTACCAGATAAGTATATAGTAAGAGGGCAGGGGAAACTATTTCCTGCTTCCAGATAATAAACGAATTAGGTAACTTCTATATCTTCAGCACTGGGTTTTATTATATTTTCATCTGATTTTGTTATAGAAAGAAATACTATGTACTGGGCAGTATTGTGCATTAATTCAGAGTGTAACCTTGGACTCTGAATGTCCTGTGTTCAAACTCACACGGAAGAAGCCAAGAATCCAGTAGTTGCTCAGTCCACAAGGTGAGATGTTTCAGCAGTCAAAATATGGTGCTGAAGGCCTGGAGCATTCCTGGAGAGCTGCTTGTTTTCAGTCTACATTGGAAGCCCAAAGAAGTTAGATATCAGCAACAGGACAGATGAGCTTGTCATTAACAGTGAGGGCAAACAGGCAAAAAGCAAAGTTTCCTCCCACATCCTTGTATCTGGGTGCCACCAGAAGGGTGCTGCCCACATTTTAGGCTTCAAATAATCTGATTAAAAAAAAAAAGTCCTTTATAGGAATGCCCAGTGGGTTGTATTTTAGATGATTCCAAATGAAATCAAATTGACAACCAATATTAGCTATCACATTCTCTGAACACCAAATGGCCTTCACAAGCCTGAGAAAGGAACCAGGGCTTCATGTATGGAAGGACTGTACCACTGAGCTACACCCATAGCCCCGTTCTTATCATGTCCTTAAGAAAAAGCTTGGACTAGGAGAATATTTGTGCGAGATGTTTCTGGGAAAAGGACAGGTTAGCATTCCTAAAATTCCACTCCACTGAGTTGTGCACGAAGAATCCCATTACTCACTCCCACATTATCACATATGAGATCAGTGAAGTCTACAAAACCCAGTCTGACTTCATTTTTAAGTATTTGTTTTGAATACATCATTTACAATATTTCTTTGTGGGGCTGAAGAAATAGCCCAGCAGTGAACTCAGTTGATGAACTTGAGGGTGAATATGGGGTGGGACCTTGTTGGAGTAGGTGTGGTCTTATTGGAGAAGATGTGTAACTGAAGGTGGGCTTTGAGCTTTCAAAAACCCGGGGCAGGCCCAGTCTCATTCTTTCTGCCTGCTTCCTGCTGATCATGATATAAATCTTTCAGCTACTGCTCCAGCACTCTGCTCCTCACCATTATAACAGGCTGACCCTCTGAAGTACTCAAGACCCCAGTTAAATACTTTTATATGAGTTGCCTTGGTCGTGGTGTCTCTTCACAGCTGCAGAACAGTACCTAAGACAGCGAGTTACAATATTATGTGAGACTTCCATTATTATCCTGAAATATGGATTTCCTATCACCACTATTTTTTTTAGGTAGGATTTCACCAATGGCTGGCCTGGAACTTGCTACACAGAACAGGCTGGCCTTGACCCACTTGCCAAGTGCTGGGATTAGAGGGTGATGTGTCACTACACCCAGCTTCATATACACTCTGGTGATGGCTATTCTTTTTTTTTTTTTTTTTTTTTTTTTTTTGTTTTTTTGGGGTCTTTTTTGTTTGTTTGTTTGTTTTTGAGACAGGGTTTATCTGTGTAGTTTTGGTGCCTGTCCTGGATCTCGCTCTGTAGACCAGGCTGGACTCGAACTCACAGAGATCTGCCTGGCTCGGCCTCCCGAGTGCTATGATTAAAGGCTTGCGCCACCACCACCCGGCCAGTGATGGCTATTCTTGGTTGTCAACTATATCTGGAATGAACTACAATCCAGAAATGGAGGGCACACTTAGGATCCAGACCTTGAGGCTGGGGGGCATACCTTTAATCTGGGCCATACCTTCTGCTGGAAGCCTATATAAAAACAACAGAAGAAGGAAGGGTTTATTCTTCGCTCTGCTTGCCCTCTCCTTGTCAGCACGTCCTTTTCCTTCACTGGCATTGGAGCCTACTTCTTTGAGATTCCAGCATATATAGAGGACCAGCTGAGACATCCAGCCTCGTGTCTGACACCCAGACTGAGCAACAACTACTAGATGGGCTTTTCAAGAATTCACAGCTAGCCATTGTTGGATTAGTCGGACTGCAGCCTGTGAGTCATTCCATGACCCAGCATTAGCGCTTTTTACCATCGATGATCTCATGAATCCTGAACAGCACAGCTTAGCCTTTAGTCTAAATACCTAGTCTAGGATTTTATTTTTAAAAAGATGTACATTGTGTTTGTCTGCACCTATTAGGAAGTTGGAGAAGTTTCTTTTCCGTCTGTATTGCTAAATGTTATTTCAAGTCTTCTATCAGCTACTAACTCAAGGCAAGCATGCCGGGGCAGGTTACTTCACACTGTCTTATTGGGAGGGTGGATGGGTGCCATGGTCACCCCTCAATGAATTCCCCGTATTTCTCACAGGCTTCTTCACTGTATTTCACCTAGCTCTGAAGGGTCACTCGGGGTCATCTTGATCAGCCAACCGTCTTGGTGGTTGATGAGCTCGTTTCCTGAGCCCCCGTGTTCCACTGACTTCAGTCACCTCTCCTGACAGAGGAGGGTGGCCAGTGGCAGTCAGGAACCTGCCTGACTCCATTTTGAAGGCAGGAGATGTTATGCTGTTATTAAACTTACTGTTAAAAATAAGTTTATGTTTACTGTAAGAGCTGAGTTGCTCTGTCTCCTGAAACCTGACCTTCTCCAACCCATGGCCTTGACTTGTTTTTGAGAATACCCTTACCTTCCCTGACCCTTCCCTAATAATATGGTGACCACATGTTTTTTGAGATTTTTTTTTCTATATTTCCTTATTGCTACATTGTGTCTTTTCTTCAAAACTATTAGTGATTTTACTCCTTAAAAGGGGCCCAAGAAATGGATTTGAGGCTGCTCCCTTTAACCCAACTTAGGAGGCAGTCGCTGGCCAACTCTTGGGTGCACTCCAATAAAAAAAAAAAATAAAAAAAAAATCCAAGCGTGCTTCAAATTTGGCTCAAATTGTGGTAGTGGTTGTATTCTTGCTGTTGGGATGAACACAACACCAATGTGGGCACGAGACTAATTCAGTCACTGTTTTCCAGGTTTATAAGCTCTTTCTTTCAAATCAATAATAAAAATCTTTTCCAGGGCTGGTGAGATGGTTCAGCAGTAAAGATGCCTGCCTGATGCAGCCCGAGTTTGATCTGGTACCCGCATGGCTGATGGAGAGAACCAAATTGTAAAACTTCTCTGACTTCCACAGAAATGAGGCATGCATACACACACTCATGAGATGGCTCAGAGGGGATGAGAACTGGTTGCTCTTACAGAGGACCTGGGTTCAGTTCTCAGCAACCCCGTGGCCACTCACAATCACCTGTAATTGAATTTCATCGGGTCATCGGGTCTGACACCCTCTTTTGGCCTCCAGGGCACTGTATGCATATTAGGCACATATAAACGCAGGCAAATACTCAAAATAAAAATAAGTAAAGAGAGAGAGAGAGAGAGAAATCCTTTTCATTGAAATGTAATCCTTCAGTTATACATCTTTGTTCTGACTGACTCCATCACATAGCTCTGCAAGGGGTAAAGTTTTCAGTGAGACAAGCAGCTATAAAAAGGCATTGCTGAGCCAGGTGGTGGTGGTGCATGCCTTTGATCCCAGCATTCGTGGGGCAGAGGCAGGCAGATATCAGTGAGTTCGAGGCCAGCCTGGTCTACAAAGCGAGTTGAGTTTCAGGACAGTCAGGACTGTTACACAGAGAAACCCTGTCTCGGAACCCCTCCCCCCCCCAAAAAAAAAAAGCATTGCTGAATAATGTAATATTTTTAAATCAGGATAGCCAGGGTTTGTTAATAGATTCACTTCCTTGGGAGAGCTGGAAAAACACCAAGTGGAGACGAAGAGGCTTCTCAAGGGAATGTGACCTTGTCATAACTACTTGGCTAAGAAAAAGAGCAAAAAAGGAGAGCATCATCTGTATCCGGCATGTTATCATGTAGAGAAGCAGCAAGGAGCTGGGGTGCAGTTCAGTGGGGCAGTGCTTGCTTAGCACGCACTGAATCCTGGGTTCTAACCCTGACAGGCAAAAAAACAACAAAGGACAAGAAGTAGTGAGTATAGCATTACTAAGAAGAATATGCTTTATAAAGCAAAACCAAAAACCAACAAAAAACCCCAACAAGCACGTGTCTTCTTCTAGGTGTCAAAAAAGATTCAGTGAACACAAGCAGCAACATTGGCAATCTTCTGGACAAGAGACATTTTGCATCACTTTTGTCTGTGCAGAAAGCAATCACAGGAAGATCTCAACTGTCATTTAATGTGGCTTAAAGATATTTATGGCCGGGGTTGGGGATTTAGCTCAGTGGTAAAGCACTTGCCCAGCAAGCACAAGGCCCTGGGTTTGGTCCTCAGCTCTGAAAAATAAAATAAAATAAAGGTGTGAAAAAAATAATAATAAAATAAAAAAACTATTTATGGCCAATATTTTACAGACTACTCAACATCCTTACCCACTAGGAAATGCAAAGTAAAACTACTTTGAGATTCCATTTTTCCCCAGTTAGAATTACTGTCGTTAAAAAACAAAATGAACCGTGGTATTCAGTAACATATATACTAAAATTGGAACAATATAGTGAAGATTGGGATGGCCCTGCACAAGGATTACACACAAGTTTATTACTTGGTCCATATTAAAAAACAATAACACAAACCTAAACAAAAGTCACTACAACACTGGCATGTTAATTACTGCTAAGCCTGCTGACCTGGGACCCACATGGGAGAAGGAGAGAATCTCTTCCCACAAGTTGTCCTGAGGCCTCTACCCCATGCTGTGGGCTCCTATATATAAATAAATGTACTTAAAAAAGTGTTAAGTTGGGCTGGATAGCTCAGTGGTTAAGAGCACTGACTGCTCTTCCAGAGGACCTGGGTTCAATTCCCAGCATCCACATGACAGCTCACAAGATCTGACACCCTCACACAGACATACATGTAGGCAAAACACCAATGCAAGTAAAATAAAAATAAATTATTTGAAAAAAAAAAA